CTCAAAGTAAGCCACTTTGAATTTTTGCAATATCATTTGTCTTCTTTTTCATTTGATTTTATTTATCTGGATCCTTTCTCTCTCTCTTTTTTTTAGTCTGGCTAAATATTTGTCAGTTTTGTTTAACTTAAAAAATTGGGCTGGGCGCAGTGGATTATGCCTGTAATTCCAGCACTTTGGAAGTCCAAGGCAGGCAGAGCACGAGGTCAAGAGATAGAGACCATCCTGGCCAACAAGGTAAAACTCTGTCTCTACTAAAAATACAAAAATTAGCTAGACATGGTGGTGCGTGCCTTTAGTCCCAGCTACTCTGGAGGCCGAGGTAGGAGAACTGCTTGAACCGGGACCTGGGAAGTGGAAGTTGGAGTGAGCGGAGATTGTACCACTGCACTCCAGCCTGGGCTACACAGCAAGACTCCATCTCAAAAAAAAAACAAGTTGATCTTTTGGTATTTTAATTTATTTCTACTCTAATCTTTATTCTTTCTTTTCTTGTACCAATTTTGGGTTTGGTTTGCTTTTGTGTTCTAGATCTTTAAGATGCATCATTAGATTGTTTCAAGTTCTTCTTTTTTGATATAGGCACGTAATAAGTATAAACTTCCCTCTGAGTACTACTTTTGCTGTATCCCATAGGGTTTGGTATGTTGTGTTTCCAATATCATTTGTTTCAAGAAATTGTTCTGTTTTCTTTTTTTTTTTTTTTTTTCACCAGTTGTTAAAGGACCTTTATTGAAATATTTTCCTTTGTGCTTCTTAACTAGCTGGGCATTCCACAGCACCACTGTTGATGTCATCTATGATGTCATGAGGGTGGTGGCCATCAACATTACAGCCCACAGACTGGGCAGTCCCCAGGATCTCTTTAATGGTTCCAGAGAGTTCTCTGGGTAAAGATTGGTGCCACATCTGTCGAGCAATGTTAACAATCTCATTGAAAGTGATATTCCCGCTGTGTTTAATGTTTTTCTGTTTCTTTCTGTCTCTTGGTGGTTCCTTAAGGGCTTTGATGATCAGGGCAGAGGCAGAAGGCACCACCTCAGTCTGGGCCTGTCTGTTCTGAACGGTCAGTTTCACTGTAATCCTCAGGCCCTTCCAGTCACCCGTTGCCTTGGCAATGTCATCACCAACCTTGTTTGGAGACAGACCCAGGGGGCCGATCTTGGGGGCCAGTGCAGAAGTGGCACCGACTTTACCCCCAGTGCACCTCAGGTATACGACTTTGATCTCCACTTCAGCGGCATGGTGGAGGCGGCTGGTGTTGGATGAAACCAGATTCGGGACAACCGAAGAAAATTGTACCTTGGCCTCCTCCGAGCCCAAAGCCGAAAGCTGTTCTGTTTTCTTAATTTCTTCATTGACCCACTGGTCATTCAGGAGCAAATTGTTTAATTTCTATATATTTGTATAGTTTCCAAAATTCCTCATTATTTGTTTCTGGTTTTATTCCATTGTGGTCAGAGACGATGCTCGATATTATTTCAGTTTTTAAAAGTTTTAAGACTCGTTTTGTGACCTACATATAGCTTATCCTTGAGAATGATCCACATGCTGAGGAAAAGAATATGTATTCTGCAGCTTTGGGATGAAATGTGTAAATATCTATTAGATCCATTTGATCTATAGTGCAGATTAAGTCTGATGTTTCTTCATTGATTTTCTGTCTGGAAAATCTAAATCTGAAAGCAGCGTGTTGAAGTATCCAGCTCTTATTTGTATCGGGGCCTGTCTCTCTAGCTCTAATAATATTTCCTTTTTATGTCTGGGTGCTCCAGTGTTGGGTGCATATATATTTACAGCTGTTATATCCTCTTGCTGAACTGACCCCTTTATTATTATATAGTGACCTTCTTTGTTTCTTCTTTTTTTTTTTTTTTTTTTTTTTTTGAGATGGAGTTTCGCTCTTGTTACCCAGGCTGGAGTGCAATGGCGCGATCTCGGCTCACCGCAACCTCCGTCTCCTGGGTTCAGGCAATTCTCCTGCCTCAGCCTCCTGAGTAGCTGGGATTACAGGCACGCGCCACCATACCCAGCTAATGTTCTGTATTTTTAGTAGAGACGGGGTTTCACCATGTTGACCAGGATGGTCTCGATCTCTTGACCTCGTGATCCACCCGCCTCGGCCTCCCAAAGTGCTGGGATTACAGGCTTGAGCCACCGCGCCCGGCCTCTTTGTTTCTTCTTACAGTTTGTCTTGAAATCTATTTTGTCTGATACAGCAAATACTGCTCTTTTTTGGTTTCCATTAGTATAGAATGTCTTTTTCCATCCCTTTATTTTCAGTCTATGTGTGTCTTTATAGGGGAAGTGTATTTCTTGTAGGCAAGAGATCAGTGGTTTTTTTTTTTGTTTGTTTTTTGTTTTTTTTTTTTTAAGACAGGGTTTCACCATGTTGGCCAGGCTGGTCTTGAACTCCTGACCTCAAGTGATCTGCCCACCTTGGCCTCCCAAAGTGCTGAGATTACAGGTGTGAGCCACCATGCCCGGCTGGGTTTTGTTTTTTCATCCATTCAGCCAGTCTGTGTCTTCTGATTGGAGAGTTTAGTTCATTTACATTCATCATTATTATTGATAAATAAGGACTTACTCCTGCCATTTTGTTATTTGCTTTCTGGTTGTTTAGTGGTCTTCTCTTCCTCTTTTCTTTTCTTCCCGTCATCCTCTAGTGAAGGTGATTTTCTCTGGTGATAAGACTTAGTGTCTATTTTTTTTGGTATCCATTTTTTTTTTTTGGTTTAAGGTTACCACGAAGCTTGTAAATACTATCTTATAACCCATTATTTTGAACTGATAATTCCATTTGCATAAATAAGCAAAAAGAAAATTGAAACTCTACAACTCACCTTTTTTTTTTTTTTTTTTGAGACGGGGTTTCACTCTTGTTACCCAGGCTGGAGTGCAATGGCGCAATCTCGGCTCACCGCAACCTCCACCTCCTGGGTTCGGGCAATTCTCCTGCCTCAACCTCCTGAGTAGCTGGGATTACAGGCACGCGCCACCATGCCCAGCTAATGTTTTTGTATTTTTAGTAGAGACGGGGTTTCACCGTGTTGACCAGGATGGTCTCGATCTCTTGACCTCGTGATCCACCCGCCTCGGCCTCCCAAAGTGCTGGGATTACAGGCTTGAGCCACCGCGCCCGGCTACAACTCACCTTTTAACTTTTAGTTGTTTCTATTTATATCTTACTGTACTATGTCTTGAAAAATTACATTTATTATTTTTGAGTGGTTCACTGTTGAGTCTTTCTACTTAAGATAAGAATAGTTTATGGGCCAGGCACGGTGGCTCATGCCTGTAATCCCAGAACTTTAGGAGGCTGAGGAGGGTGGATCACGAGGTCAGGAGATTGAGATGATCCTGGCCAACATGGTGAAAACCTGTCTCTACTAAAAATACAAAAATTAGCTGGGCCTGGTGGCACCTCCTTGTATTCCCAGCTACTCAGGAGGCTGAGGCAGGAGAATCGCTTGAACCAGAGAGTCAGAGGTTGCGGTGAGCCGAGATTGCACCACTGCACTCCGGCCTGGCAACAGAGCAAGACTCTAAGAAAAAAAAAAAAAAGTGGTTTACATACCACAGTTACAAATGTTATAATATTCTGTATTTCCTCTTTACTGTTACTAGTGAATTATGAACCTTCAGGTAGTTATTTATTGCTCATTAATGTCCTTTTCTTTCTTATTGAAGTATTCCCTTTAGCATTTCTTGTAGGACTGGTCTGGTATTGATGAAATCCCTCAGCTTTTGTTTATCTGGGAAAGCCTTTAATTTTCCTTCATGTTTGAAGGACATTTTCACTGGATATACTATTCTAGGGTAAGAGTATTTTCCTTCAGCACTTTAAATGTGTATTGCCAATCTCTCCTGGCCCTCGAGATTTCCACTGAAAAGTCTGCAGTCAGATGTATTGGAGCTCCATTGTATGTTATTTGTTTCTTTTATCTTGCTGCTTTTTAGGATCCTTTCTTTATCCTTGAGCTTTGGGAGTTTGATTATTAAATGCCTTGTGGTAGTCTTCTTTGGGTTAAATCTGCTTGGTGTTCTATAACCTTCTTGTACTTGGATACAGATATCTCTCTAGTTTGGGAAATTCTCTATTATCACTTTGAATAAATTTTCTACTACCTTTTTTTTCTACCTCCTCTTTAAGGCCAGTAAGTCTTAGATTTGTCCTTTTGAGGCTATCTTCTAGATTCTATAAGTGTGTTCGTTTCTTATTCTTTTTTCTTTAGTCTTCTGACTGTTTATTTCCAAATAGCCTGTCGTCAGGCTCACTAATTCTTTCTTGTTTGATCAGTTCTGCTATTAAAGGAGTCTGGTGCATTCTTCAATAAGCCAGTGGCATTTTTCAGCTCCAGAATTTCTGCTTGATTTTTAATTATTTCAATATCTATGTTAAATTTATCTGATAGAATTCTGAATTCCTTTTCTGTGTTATCTTGGATTTCTTTGAGTTTCCTCAACACATCTATTTTGAATTCTGTCTCAAAGATCACATATCTCTTTCTCTAGGATTGGTCCTTGGTGCCTTATTTAGTTCATTTGGTGAGGTTATGTTTTCCTGGATGGTGTTGATGCTCGTAGATGTTCTTTGGTGCCTGGGCATTGAAGGGTTGGGTATTTATTGTAGTCTTCACTGTCCTGGCTTATTTCTAGCTGTCCTTCTTAGGGAAGGCTTTCCAGATATCTAAGCTATATCTGCTTTAGGGAGCACCCCAAACTCAGTAATGCTATGGTTCTTGCACAGGCATAGAGGCACTGCCTTGATGGTCTTGGACAAAATCTGGGAGAATTCTCTGGTAGATACACTTGATCTCTTTCCTTATAATCTCTCAAACATAGTTTTTTTTCTCTCTCTGTTCTGAGTCACTCAGGGCTGAGGGTGGAATGACACCAGCACCCCTGTGGCCACCATCATGATGACTGCACTGGGTCAGACCTGAAGCCAGCACTGTGTGTTGCCAAAGGCCTGCTATAACCACTCCCTGGCTACTGCCTATTTCACTCACCACCCCTGGGGCTCTACAATCAGATGGCAAAGCTAGCCAGGCCTGTGTCCTTCCTTTCAGGGTGCCAAGGTCCCCCAAGCCCCAGGTGAGTCCAGAAGTGCCATCTGGTAGTCAGGGATTACAGTAAAAAAACCTTAGAAGCCTACCTTGTGTCCTATTGTATTGTGGCTTGGCTGAGCTGGCACTCAAACCATACAAGTCCTTTCCTGGAAAGGCAGAGGAACCTCCCCCCATAGCCGCCACCCTAAGCCACAAGGATTTCTGTCAGAGTACTGCTGATGTTCCCTTAGGGCCAAAGGTCTCTTAAGTCAGCTTGTCATGAATGCTGCCTCTTCAGGGAAGTGGGCTCCCCTCTAGCCCAGGACAGGTCCAGAAATGCCATCAGAGTCAAATTCTAGAATCAGGGGCCCCAAGAGCTTGCTTGTTGCTCTGTCCCTCTGTGGCCATGCTGGTGCCTAAGGTGCAAGACAAAGTCCCCTTACTTTTCCCTTTGCTTTTCCCAAGCACAAGGAGTTTTGCTCTGTAGCCATTACAGCTGGTTATGTGCCGAGTCTCACCTGAAGCCAGCAAGTCTCAGAGGCCCACTCAAGGCCCTTGATGTAGTACCTGGATATTGCTGCTGGTTATTCAGGGTCCAAGGGCTCTTCAGTTAACAGATGATGCAGGACTGGGTCCTTTCCTTCAAGGCAGCAGGTTCCCTTCTGGCCCAAGATGTGTCTAGAAATGTCTGGGAGCTAGGCCCTGTAACAGGAGCCTCCTGATTCTGACCAGTGCCTTCTCCTGCTATGGCTGGGCTGGTATCCAAGATGTAAGACACAGCCCACCCCGATTCTGTGTCCTACCTCAAGTCGAAGGGGTCTCTTTTGGAGGTGAGAGCTGTGCAGCCTGGGGTTAAGGGAGGGCTGATGCCATATGTCACCGCTCCTCCCTGCCCCCTGTCAGTTCAGTGTCTCTGGGCCTAATTCAGCACTCGGACTGGCCTAAGAATTGCAGTCCTTATGGCCTAGACGGCCTTTCAACTTTACTTAGACAGAAGCTGCAGCCCTCAGCAATGAGGTTTGCAGGCACTTAAGTTCAGACCACTGGGATCAGCAGTTCCCCTCTGGCTGAGGCTGGTTTAAATGCTCCCTCCATGCGCAGGTATCAGCTGAATTTGGTCTGGTTTTCTTTCCTTTCTGCTCTAATAGGACAGCACTGAGTTGAGTGCCTCACAATTGCTGTGTTCTCCCTCCTACAGCACCTAGAGATGCTCTCTGCATTGTGCCGCTGCCACCGGGGGTGGGAGAGGAGTACTGTCGGCAATTCAGGACTATTTTTAAAATCACTTCAGTGCCTCTTTCAGTGATATGAAGTCAAAACCAGGTACTATACAAGTGCTTACCTGATTTTTGGTTTGTATGAAAGTGGTGTTTGTTTCTTTTTCCTGTGTAGATAGTTGTTAATTTGGTGTCTTTGCAAGGGATGATCGGGGAGCCTTCTATTCTGCCATCTTGCTCTGCTCCCTCTCTATAGTTTAAATATTTGAGGTATGTTAGGCAAGGTCCCATCTTCTTCAGAAAGCTAGACTGTTTTTGTCCATTATTCCTGTAACATTTTGAATGTGTATCACTACACACCTCAGAATGGTTAAACTCCAAAATACTGACACCACCAAATGCTTCCAAAGATGCAGAACAAAGGAACATTCATTTCTGTGGTAATTCAAATGGCAGAGGTTGCAGTGAGCTGAGATTGCACCACTGCACTGCAGCCTGGGTGACAGAGCAAGACGCTGTCTCAAAAAAAAAATCACACAGTGATCTCATTTCACACAAACTAGACAGACAAAAATATATTATTCCACATGATTGACAACATTGGAATTATCTACACGTGCAAGAATGGTGGGAGGGTCAGTTCATATACTTCATTGGGACTTATACTTCATTGGCAATCTTAAAGTTGCTCAGAATCTAACACAGCAAGTTTTCTCTAATGTATAGAGAATTTACTATGCATAGGCACTTGGGAACTTAAAGTATGATTAAAGCAGCATTTTCCATAAGAACAAAACACAGCAGCCAGGCATGGTGGCTCATGACTGTAATCCCAGAACTTTGGGAGGACGAGGCAGGCGGATCACCTGAGGTCGGGAGTTTGAGACCAGGTGACCAACATGGAGAAACCCTGTTTCTATTAAAAAAACAAAATTAGTTGGACTTTGTGCAAGCCCGTAATCCCAGCTACTCAGGAGGCTAAGGCAGGAGAATTGCTTGAACCCGGAAGGTGGAGGTTGTGGTGAGCTGAGATGGTGCCACTGAACTCCAGCCTGGGCGACAGGGCGAAACTGCCTCAAAACAACAACAAAAAAAAGCATGCACACAAAAACCAACTAGAAAGGTTAAGCAAATTGGGTAGCTCAAGCCTCAGACACCAGCATGTGTTGAAACAACTGGAGATACACCTATCCATTATTTCCTTTCATAGAAAGTGCAAAAGAGGCAAACCTAAGCAAAACATTGGTGATAAAATAATGGCATAGCTATAAAGAATATCCACAGTCCTCGCCTCTGGAGACAGGAGGAAAACAAAGTCAAGGTGAAGCAGCACTGGAGATAGGATATACCCAAGGTCTGTTCATTCTGTGAGTGCCCAGGCTACAGAATCGTGTAATTTTATAGTTAGGATTAAACATAAAATTCTATGTGTTCTATAATGAGATATATATATGTATTATTTTTTATGTGTGTTAGACGGAGTTTCACTCTGTTGCCCAGGCTGGAGTGTAGTGGCGTGGTCTCGGCTTACTGCAAGCTTGGCCTCCCGGGTTCAAGTGATTCTCCTGCCTCAGCCTCCCAAGTAGCTAGGATTAAGGGCATGCACCACCACACCTGGTTAACTTTGTATTTTTAGTAAAGACGGGGTTTGTCCATGTTGGTCAGGCTGGTCTTGAAATCACAACCGCAGATGATCTGCCCGCCTCAGCCTCCCAAAGTGCTGGGATTACAGGCATGAGTCACTGCACCTGGCCAGTATGCTATATTTCACTACAAAAATATAATTCAGCTGGGTGTGTTGGCTTATGCCAAGGCAAGACATTCACTTGAGGCTAGGAGTTCGAGAACAATCTGGGCAACATAGTAAGACCCCTATCTCTACCAATAAAATAAAATGTCATGTTTAAATATAAATATATAATTCTTTAAGCATGAAAAGTCATTATTTTTTTTTGAGACGACAGAGTCTCACGTTGTTGCCTGGGCTGGAGTGCAGTGGTACAATCTCGGCTCACTATAACCTCTGCCTCCCAGGTGCAAGCCATTCTCCTACCTCAGCCTCCTGAGTAGCTGGGATTACAGGTGCCCACCACCATACCTGGCTAATTTTTTGTATTTTTAGTAGAGATGGGGTTTCACTATGTTGGCCAGGCTGGTCTCGAGCTCTTGATCTCATGATCCGCTTGCCTCAGCCTCCCTAAGTGCTGTTATTACAGGCGTAAGCCACCACGCCTGGCCAATAATTTTCAAATATTTATTTTGCCATGTTTTCTAACTACCTCCCCAGTTCTTATTTCACTGCCTTAGTTCAGTGCAGATTTTTAAGTCTTTTAGACTGCACCTATTGCTATTCACCTTGATTTCAGCAAGCAATGACTAGTAAAAGAATGGAAACAATACTCAATGTTTATTTAGAGAGAACTGGCTACATAAACTTCCATCTTTTAAAAAATATATTTATTAAAAAAATATTTTAGAGGAGACAGGTTATCTCTGTTGCCCACACTGGAAGTATAGTAGCACATAGTTCACTGCAGCCTTGAACTCCTGGGTTCAAGTGATCCTCCCACCTCAGCCTCCCAAGTAGCTGAGACTACAGGCATGTGAGCTGCCACAACTGGCTCAACTTCATCATCTTGGGAACCTTTATAATAATTAGGGAAGGCACCAGTGGATATGAAAAAAGCTGCAGGATTTATTTTCAAATGAACAAAAAAGCAAAGTCTGTAAACCATGTTGCCTTTTATAGCGATAGAAGAAAAATATGTAGTTTAAATTGCTTTTTATGTGAATGCTGAACAGACAAGAAAAAATTGTTATCTTTGGGAACCTGAGGCCACTAGACATGAATGCTAGAGGACATGCTAAGAGTGAGCCTTCAGGTAGACTACTTCTAAATCTCAGGCTGAGGTGTGTGTATGTATAGAGACAAGATCTTGCCATGTTTCCCAGGCTGGTCTAGAACTCCTGGCCTCAAACGATCCTTTGGCCTTGGCCTCCCAAACATATATGAGTCACTGTGCCCAGCCTCAGGTTGAATTTTTGAATCCTGACATTCACTATAAACAATTATTAAAGAAAATTTGCATTAACTATATTTTAATAGCTCATAAATCAAATGACTTTTAACAGGAAACCAGTTATCTGTTACAGTCCTCTAAAGAAGTAGTTTTGTAAAGTGAGAAATACGTTTTTACAAACCATAAAAAATTGTTTTGCACATAAAGATGGGAGCAATGGACACTGGGGACTGCTGGAGCGGGGAGGGGTGGTGGAGAGTGAGGGCTGAGGGACTGCCTGTTGGGTGCTGTGCTCACTGCCAGGATGACCGGATCACCCATAGCCCAAACCTCAGTGTCACAGTGTTCCCATGTGATAGAACTGTACCTGTACCCCTTGAATCTAAAATGAAATTAAGAAATAGAAATGTGTATTTTTGTGATATGATTCCTGATGTTCATAAGATGTGGATTTGTGTATTCCATCCCAGGAATCTTTAAAAAGTAAATGTTAACAAAAAATTTTTTTATCACTTGAGCTCAGTGGTTCAAGACCACCCAGGACAACAAAGTAAAACCCCATCTCTACAAAAAATTTAAAAATTACCCAGGCGTGGTGGCATGTGCCTGTAGTCCCAGCTACCTGGGAGGCTAAAGTGGGAGGATGGCGTAGGGCCTGGGAGGCAGAGGTTGCAGTGAGGTGAGATTATGCCACTGCACTCTAGCTTGGGCAGCAGAGTGAGACATGTCTCAAAAAAAAAAAAGAAAAGAAAAAAGAAAAAAATAATTTTAAACATTTGGTTCCTAAATAAAATTACAAGTGATATTGC